AAAACAGTGTTCTGCAATTGACACTGTTCTCTCAGTGATTCATGATATTCAAATAGCAAAGCATAAGAATCTGGTCTCAACTGCAGTTTTTATTGATATAAAAGAAGCATTTGATCATGTTTCAAAGTCAAAGTTAATTCAGATATTGAAGATATTAAAACTGCCACTTTCTCTAATAAAATGAGTTAACTGTTTTATATCTAAAAGAAGTATACAACTCTTCTTTAATGGAATGAAACAAGACAAGACTGAGATAAAAATAGAAGTATCACAGGAATCTTCAATCTCACTCATTTTATTTGCAATATACACTGCATATCTATTCAAAAATAGAAATATGAGAATAGTGCAATCTTCAAGTTATGTGAATGATATTGATCTAGTCTACAGCTCAAAAACTATCAAAGAGAATTTGAAAGTAATTGAAGAAGCTGCAAAGAAAATCTTTGTTAGAGCAGATATCAATTAAATTCAATTTAATATGAATAAAACTGAGTTAATTCATTTCTTTTCTAGATTCAATGAGAAAGAACTATCTCTAACTCTTTTAAATAGAGAGATTAAATCCAGTGTAAATATCAAATGATTAGAAGTATGATTAAACTTCAAGTTGAATTTTAAATATCACATTCAACAGAGAACTGTCAAGGCAGAAAGACTATTGAATAACATAATCAGACTATCAAATACAGAGAGAGGTCTATCCTTCCAGGCTATGAGACAGTTATATATAGCCTGTATTACATCAGTAGCTGATTATGAAGTTCAAGTTTGATGAAATAATCAAGAGAATTTCACTGAACTCTTTCAAAGTCTGTAAAACAGAGTCTTGAGAAGAATTCTGAGAGCATTCAAATCATCTCCTATTAAAGTAATGAAAATTGAAGCTTCAATTTCTTCTCCTGCTATTAGAGTTGAAAAGACCTGTATGAACTATGCTCTGAGAGTTGTAAAGATGAGCTTAAGTCATATAATCAGAGAAAGAGTTTCTTCTTCATTTCCATCAATTAACTCTGAAAATAAACTGAATTGAAATAGATTTCTTGATTGAAATGAAAATAATTCTTCAAAGAAAATGTCTTCTCAACTGTACAGACTATGCTCTCTGATTAAAAATCAATTTTCTTCTTTAAATGTTGAAAAAGTTGATCATGAGAAGTTATCTCTCTGAAGAGAAAAGCTTCAATCTCTTATAGACTTATAAATAAGTGAACTATCAAAAGAGAAAGAATATGAACAGTATTTGAAAAGAATTTCTACAATCAATATAAAAGACTCTATTCTGATTTATTCAGATGACTCAAAAAATGAGAACTTGAATAGATTAGGCGCAGGCATTGCTTATACTGAAGATAATATCAATTTTATCTCAGATTTCTGAAATCTAGGCTCTGAATATGAAGTCTTTGATGCTGAACTATTTGCAATAGTGAAAGCTTTCAAACTCATTGAAATAAAATCTTATAAAAGAGGAAATTGTTTGAAAGAGATATGAATATTCTCTGATAGTCAAGCTGCTTTAAAAAGACTTAGAAATAGTCAGATTTATAATGATCAAATGAATCTTGAACTGATCTTAAACTCTGTTTTGAAAATTCAAAAGAGAAGAACATCAAAGCTGATAATTCATCTACACTGAGTTCCTGCTCATATGAATATTCATGGCAATGAATTGGCTGATTCAGCTGCAAAAAAGAGTGCAGAATTAAGCAGATCTATTCAAAAAATTATGTTCTAATCTTTTATAAAGAGAAAAATAAAAGAATCTTGTTTAGACAAGTGAAATGAAAGCTGGCAGAAATAAAAGAAGAGTATACATTATTCAAGATTTGAAATAAAACCCAAGTGGAAATCTTGTTTAATTAAATGTAAAAAGAAACTATTCTCATCTATAATACAGCTGAAACTAGAACATGACTATTTCAAATCTTATATACAAAGATTTAATGATAGATTTGACTCAATAGAATGCTCATTCTGCAATACAAATGAGAATTCTGAGTATATTATAATGCACTGTGCATTATACAATAGTCTCAGAGTCAGATTGAAAGAGAAGTATGATCTAAATCAATTAAATATGAGATTCTTATTCTCAACTGAGACAGGAATTAAATACTTAATAGACTTTCTATCAGAAACTCAAGCAGCTATAAGAAAATGACTAAATTCAGAATTATCTGAATATGAAGAGAAGGAAATCAACCAGATATAGTCTGTTAAAACAGCTATATACTATCTTTTAATAATTTGTTTTATTACAGTCTTTCTTTATTTTATCTTTTCCTTTCAATTTCTTTCTGTCTATCTATTTAATGTGTCTATCTTTAAGACTGTGTTTTCTTTTCCTTTGTCATGATATTGTCAAATGGTTTCAAAGTATTAGATGATGTTAAAATACTGCAATTTGTAAACAGTTTTTGTATTCTGAGCTGGAATTTTCTGATTTTGCATATCTGAAATTGATGAATGTATAATAGTTAACTTTACAGATATAGGAAAAACCCTGAGAACTAAAAGTTCTCAGATAGATGTCATAGTCTCTGACTGTATACATCTATAATTGAAGAATAATAATACTAATAACTTATAAGATATTATTATAATATACTTAACTGTCTTATTCAGATAATTGAGATTCTCATTGAACTCTTACTTATTAATCTTATATATGTTATTCTAAGTAATCTGAACTGTATAAAAAATATCACTGTTTAGAGCTCTGCAAATGAAAAATGAGAGAATAGTAAAAGATAATATAAATCAGAATCTCTGATCTTTAAGCTTTATAAATGAGAGCAGATTAACTATAATATTAAAAATATAGTAAATATTCTGTAAGTTAATATCATCACTCTCAATCTTTAAGATGACAGTTTTAATCTTTTTAATAAACTCAGTTCTCTCAATCACAGAATCAATAGAGATGTTATTATTAAAAGATTTAATATTTAAAAAAGAATAAAGCTTATCTATTATATTCAGACTTATATATCTATTCAAATATCAAGATCTAGAGAATGATTTTTCAGTAACTGTGAAGAAGAAATAGAACTCAATCTTTATAAATACTGTATTTACTACTAATTGAGAACTTATTAAGTTATTCTTCTTCTCTTTCTTCTTATCATCATTCTTCTTGTTCATCTTCTTTTTCTTTTTATCAGAGTATGAGATGAAATATCTATTAATAGTATATTCATATCTTCTATAGTGAGTATACTTTTATACAGTTATACTTTTATTCTTATCTTTATTCTTATTCTTATTCTTTTTCACAGTCACAGAATTAGTCTGAGACTGCTTTTTTCACTTAATAATAATCTTCTTAAATATATAATTAATCAATTACTTTATTAAATTATTAATATTAATATTAACAATGAGTTCTTGATCAGTGAAGAAAAACTCATTTAAATATATCTTAATAAATAATCTTTGATAATTTTATAGATTGTTAAGAAACAGATTATAATATATATCTTTAATACTCTAACAGAGCTTCTTGTGACAGATAATAAAATAGTAGAAATATCTCTGAAAAGTAAGATAATCACTATTCTTAACTTATAATTTTATCAATTTCTTAAAGATATTAACTTATTCTTCAGTCAGTGATATTGTATATTTAATATTAATCTTATTTTACAGAACTGTAGTATTATTAACTTCTAAGATTTTAATAATAATTTAAATATTTTTAATAAGACTTGATAGTATATATCTATATAGAGACTTAAAACAGATCTTTCACTTCTCAGAATTAATATAATATATAAAGAGAGATTCTTATTAAGTTCTTAATAAAATATCAGTTTTATTAATAACTTCTATATCAGTTAATATATTAATATATCAGACTTTATAATTGAAGTTATTAAATATAATTACTGATTTAATATTTAATATATATTTAACTTTCTTCTGATATTTCTGCAACTTATCTCTTATAGTATCTCTTTATATAGAGATAAATATAATGAGATGTTAAGTGATTTCAGCTGTAGTCATTTAATTATATAGTATTATCTATATAAGATTTATAAGATTATCTGCAGTATAATAGATAGATTAATTCAGATTATTATTAAAAGTCAGTATTTCAGAGATAAGAAATAGTGAAGAATTTAATAAGTTAAAATAAATAGATTCTATAAATAAATATTAACTCTACTTTTCTTTATTCTGAAGTTTCTCTGTTATCTTATCATTAAGTTTCATACTCTGATAAAAACTGATCTTAGTCTTATCTTATAAGTTAGAAGTCTTCTTATAATAAGTAATTATTCTATTAATAAGTTATCTAGTGAAGTATGTAATTCTGAATCTTGAGCTGAACTCTGAAGTAATAGATGTATTACTTATATCAAGATAACTCTGCTTCTTCTAAATATATAAAAAATAAAAAGTGATATTCTTCACAATGAAGAATATACTTTCTTAAAAATATAAAGTATATAAATCTGCTGATCAGCAGATTCAGAGAAAATAAAATATCTTTAATAAAGAGTGAGAGTCTTTTCAAAAAAGATGAACTATTCATATCAAAAATATTGATACAATATTCTAAAAAGAAAAACATGTCATTCAGGCTATAATCTGTAGAATAGTTGAAGATTGTATTGATAGATCTATCTACAAGAACATAATATAGTGGTGGGTCACATGATCTAGTGGGATCGCTAACCGCAACGGCCGTAACGGCCAACACAAACAAGGTATGTCGTGAAGGAAGTGGACAAGAAGGGAAACACTTAAAACATTAGCATGTCGAAAACTTCGCGGAAGGCGAATTTGAACCCCTAACCCCTACCGCCTATGGCTCTACCATCCTAAATTTAGAAGCCCGGTAGCATGGTTAACAGCCTAGACCTAACATGCGATACCCCCCGTACGTATCCAGATCTCGCTTCCCACACCACGAAGGAATGCTTAATCCTATCGAAGCTAGGGTCAAGGCGGATGGTTAACGGTAATTTTGAAGGAGACTTGCTCGCAAAGGCTTGGCACATTAGAATTTCGGTTTGTTCCTTCTTCTCGAATGTGCGGCTGTACCCCGTTGTGAAATATAGAGTACATGGTTACGTTCGCCAAGTGACGCGGCATGAAGACCAAATGGCTATCTTGAGCGATATATAGTCTCCGACAGCGTAGATATGGCCGAAGATTGATACTGATGTGAAGACTTCGCAAGTATCAAATGCCTTTAGCGTGGGGTGTGTTGCCGTTGTGCTTACACCTGTTTCATTAGCACTAAGTTTCCAAAGCGTTGTCATGACCTCGGCCAAATTCTTCCGGGGCCCAGGCTCATTAAAGACATCCGGTCCTTTTGCACGGAGTGGTGTGCATGCATTATTTCTTGCAACTCAACAGGGTATGTTAAACTGTTCAAATAGTGCCCTTCGTCGACAAGACTAGCCCAAGCCAAGGGAGGCGCCAAGGTGTAGAGAAAATACGTTAAAAAAGCTTAACTGGAACAAGTGCTTTGGGGTTCACATGGGCCGGGCGGTGCAGACTCTCTGCAGAGCAGCAACCGGTTAAGTTTCCGACTCCCAAGCGCCTTGGCGGGTTGGTCCACAGCTTTGCTGGAGGAGGGATCCTTGTTTAGGTTGAGACAAAAGGCGATTTGTACAACCTCACCCTTCCCGTACGTACCGTTGCTCACAGGTAAACCCGAGCGGCACCATGTTCATCCACATACGCATTGCATAGATATGAGACATGAGAACCCTGCCGCCAGCGGGTTATATCAACTACTCACTTGGCCAACGCATTTCAGATACTAATCTCAAAAAAATTAGGAAAATTTCGTGGCTCCGCCTCATGTTGTACAGGCAGTTCAAACCGGATAAAATGGATGGACTAAACTTCTTCCGTCACTAATTCCCGAGTATCCTCAAGAAACAAGAAGTGCACGAACGGCAAGGGTGGGACGGCACGATAGCGGCGATTGCTAATCGGATAAAACGGCCTTGGAGTATGTATTGTTCGCCCCGGCTCGCCATAAAATGCTGCAAACTAATGGGTGTGCATGATTAATATTGGCAAATTGAACTCGAGCGGAATAATCGGGTGTTGTCTAGGTCCAATTCGAGGTTGTGTCCGCGCGGCATGAAAGGGATTGTGGGACGTGCAATCATGATCGTGTGGGAATGTAGAGAAACAGATTGTATATATAGTACGAAGGACTGATTGAAGCGTATTTCACGAATAAGGTGACAAGGGAAAGAAAAACTTTGAGAAAATGAAAAAAAAAAAGAGAAAAAAAGAAAAACATACAACAGCCGGGATTCGCTGGTGGTCACCCACCCAACTACTAACCGGCCGGCGAGTGGCTTAAGTACGGCTGAGCGGACGGGAAGCCCTGCTTTCCACTCCCTATGGTCGTATGTGCTGGTTCCCTGGTGGAAAGTCAATTTATAGCGGACATTACCATACCAGGAAGGACGAAATGACGTCCCTCAGGCGACAGTCCAGCTTCCTCACCCCAGCTAACCTACATGCAACGATACCAAATGCAAACATAACGCAGTGGGTCACTTTCGCAGATTCCCAGGGGGTCTCTTATCTGACATTGCCTGGGTATTTGGGCAACCTAATTTCATTGGAGTTCGGCTCCAGGGACGGGGTCGGGGGTTGCCCAAACTTGGGGAAACCGTCTTTCGATTTGTTCCTTGAAAACACTGTTGCTGATGGGGAAAGCGAATACCGCAATGCCCGAGATTCCAGATGGTCTTACCCGTCAGGAAGTTAGCTACTATGGGATTCACGCATTCGGCTTATTTGGGATGAAGTAGAATTGCTGGGATACAGTGGACCAGTTCGACGATTCAGATGCCGCCAAATTGTGAGAGAGATGCTCATTCGTTACAAATCCTGGTTCCAAACGTTGGTCCCCAACAACGAAATTCACGGATACAGTCGGCAGGGGAGACTTCCTGCAGCATATCGTTCCCTGATCTCACAACTGACAGTGCCATTGTAACTACTAGTTAGGCCTGGTGCTTGCTTTACCCTATTCAAAAAGCGCGGTGATGCAAATCGAGTCGATGTGGAACAGCTCAAAAGCATTTGAGCCAGCTATGGAAATAAGTTCTTTCCGGAATAGGCTGCTAAAGGCAATCGAGCACCAACCTCACACTACCTACGATGGCCGATTTCACCTTATTCGAAGTTCGATTCCGTTGCGTGAGCGGTCATGGCGGTTTGAAATAGGACATACCCACGTTCAACTGTAAATATACGCTTGACATACTCCCTGGTTAGAAGGACCTACAACTTTACGGGGCAATGTATGGTTCGCTGGTGGTAACTAACTCTGCCCAAGCCATCAAGAAAAAAATACCTGAAGAGAAGTGCCGCCGGAGCAATTCTGAGTTCGCGTACCAAATATGATCGAATTTTTAATTATTGTGATCTTATATATTCTCACAGCCTAGATAACAACGGAAGGCCTTAAAAACACTCAATACGCTTTCTCAAGGAATAAATACCAAAGTGAATTCAACTAACATGTCCAGCAGAGGCAAAAACAATTACCAAAATTCTATCCACCAGTTCATCGCTCATGTCGTTGGTTGAGATATGACAGGACTACTCTCTTTTGGAAAAGTCCACGGTAAACCCGTCCCAAGCACTTTCCACATCGTCTACCGAGCCATCTTTCTTGACGAACATAGAACCCATCACTGCATGTGTACCACCATTTTTCCTTCGCCACTCACTAACCGGTGCAGGGACCTTTCCAGCATTCGGTTGGACTTGAAATTTATTGTATACGACCCCATTGATGGTCACCTCACCATCGAAATCCCAACGGATCCCCAGATTCAGGAGTTCGCTTGGCTTCTTGGGGTACGCTGTACCTCCACGGGCGGCAGTCACACTTGTGAACTTCTTTGGATGCGGCAGATATCATGCCTTTTGGCGGTGCGGAATATTTTCTTCATGATGACGGTAGTAATATTGGTACGTCTCCTAAGGAGCATGATTAGCAAACGGAACACAAGATCGAGGAATTCTGGCCTATCCTTGACGTGAGCGTGTGTATCTATTAGAGCAAAGTCAAGGAGTTGGATAGAACCTTTCAATCAAAATGGGTATCTTCTCTCAGGCCAATGCATCCAATTACTTGACTTTTTGATCAGAAATGAACGGGACAACTTTGGTGTCCGAGCCTCCATCGGGAAGCTCTATGGTAGTTCTTATATAGACTGAATTCATTAGATCCAGCCCTACTACGCTTGAGCAACGGCATGGAAAGGTAGCAGAGAGGTCCTCAGCCTATCCTTTTCAAACTGCCATATACGCGTGTCGGAATGGTATCTCGGATGAATATGTCGGAAACATATGAATCTCATGTGTATCAAGATCTGCTTCTTATATTATCCGTACTCTATCTATCATAGCTAATTGCATACAAAATATAGAGCTATTTATAGTAAAACAAATGTGCGAGCCAAGAGAGCTAGCATTAGCAAGTATTAGACGAGCATTGTAGTTACGGAGGGCGCTATCAAAAGAATTGCGCCGGCAAAAAGACAGCTAGACAGCGCCACAAATCTTGGCGGAAATTCACACTGTATTTTATACTGAATATTCAGCTCTTGATTATTCCTTGTCTCCACTGCCATTCAACATGGAATCTGCCACTCTTTTTAACATGTAATCTGCATCCCAATTTGCCTGCCAATCTGCGTGCCAATCTACCACCCCGCGGAGCCAGATGAGTATTCTATTCCTTCACCTGCCCGTGCCGCCTTTCTTCTCTATACTCATTGCCACCTTCTAACTCTATAATCTTTTCAATATGTACAGGAATCCGCTCAATCCATACCTGTATCTTCTCTTGTGACAGATTCTTCCATGTCTGCTCTCATACTCTAACTGCTTTTATACAGTTCTTAGAAGCTTCTTTTTTAGTTGTTCTGTACTTCATTCAAGATCAAGCTATCTCAATTCCATTGAGATTAGATGAATTCTCACATCAAAGTAGCTGTTGAATTCTATGAATATCATACATATAATATTGAATATAGTGATTATGTGAAGAGGCTTTATTCACTTATATAATAGTATTTAAATATTCAATTTGACATTTTTTTATAAAGAGAAATAGCTTCAGTAAAAGAATTTAAACTTAATAGTAATATTAATTAATCTTATCATCTTTATCATAAAATAGTTTATCTGTGATTTTTTTTAAATTTTTATATTGATTTTTGATCTGACTGTTAATAATTAATCTGTAATATTTAAATATTATTTAACAGTTTTTATTCTTACTATTTTATAAATTTTAATTCTGTGTTTAAAGTCTTAATATACTTAAGAAATTAAGTATACTTTTATAAGATTTCTCTGACTTAATAATGAAATAAGCTTTTTTTATTATATAAGAAACAGATTCAAAATATAAATTCAGATAATTTTTTCTATTATTTATATATACAGCTTTAAGAATAAATTTTATAAAATATATACTATATTTTACATTTATTTTATTAATAAAGAAAAATAACAGAGATTTTATCTGATCAGATGATATTCTTTCAATTTTTCAAAATTTAATTCCGTAGCAGGCTGCACTTAATTATAAGACTATTTCATTACACTTCATAGATTTCTGCTGAAAGCCCTGATTCTCAGTCACTGATTCTTGGCTAAAGAACTCACAGAGTTTCTATTCTTCCGCTCTGAAGCTTCATCTCATATATGTATAAATATTCACTTCAATCACTGATTCTCATACTTTCTCTTTTATTTTTCTTCTCTAACATTTTCTACTTTTGTTATATAAGATCTATATATTAATATCAACCTATTCAGTGTAGACCTCTTATACTTGAAAAATATTCATTATCTTCTCATTAGAAATGATTATTCATTGAAAAGATATTTGAACATGTAATAATATGTAAGAAATATAGAAATAAACAATCAGTTAAGTAGATACTGAGTCTTTAAATAGAAGCTTACTTATTAGTAACTCTGATCTCATAACAAGATCTTACAAAGAGAATGTCAGTAAAAGATCTGAGAGTTCTAACATCTTAGACATATAAGATATTCATATAAATACACTTTCAATTTTGAAGAACTCTTAAACATAGATACTACACATTCAATAAATAATATAGCTATGTCTATTAATAATATGAGAGAACTCTTAAACACAAGTATAGACACAGTACTATAGTGACTTTGAGTAATGTTAAAATTATAACAGTAATAGATAGCTGATATGCATGTAAATCAATAATATTAATATGAAGAAATTCAATAATTAACTTAATAAGAAACTTTTGTACAGACAATTTCAATACTGACTGAATCAGATATGAATAGAATACAAGTATTAAAGAAATATCTAGATATTTCTGCATATTTTAATACTTCTAATCTCACTCTCTACTTATCATGAAGATTGAACATGCTTATGAAACTAAGTGTAGATGAAGATATCATCAGTTTATTAACTAATCAAGATTGATATATCAATGATTGATTAAAAGATTATATAAAATAGAAGTTTCATTTATAAATAAAGACATGTGAATCAGTATTACATACATCTGATAATATTATTAGATATCTCAATATTTTGTTCAGAGACACTACTATGCAGCAGAAGATATTAAATTAATTACAGAGTACTTAACAGAGAAATACTTCTCTCACAGCATTTATTCCTGACTTTGACATCAAGATTCTAAAAGCAGGTGATCAATCTTGAGAGAATTGAATGAAGATTAGCATGCTTAAGAAAGCACTAACTTTTGAACTTCTATAAGTTCTTATAAGTGTAGATAAAGACCTGACTTATAAAGACTTCTATATATAACTTCAGACATTGAATAATTATCTTACTAAGCTTAAGAGTATACAGAGCAGCAGTAGAAGATATTACATCTTAGTCACTTATATATCTGTGTCAAAGAATAATAATAATGCAGATGTCATGAATTGAGTAGACTTGAATATCTATGTATAAACAAGGATTTTCACCGCCTGAATAAGCTTTCAAGTCCCTGGGATTGCTCTCAAAGAAGCTGTCAATTAACATCAATAAGAGATATATATCAATTGTAACTGATCAGAATATATTGCTTTCAACTATCAATCAGTCTATATATCTTCTTATTTAACAGAAAGATCAACACTGACAGTCTGTGTCAATCACACTATATTAGAGAAAGATTTGAAAGATAGCTATGAGAATACTCTGATGAAATAGAGAAAAGATTAACTTCTGCTCAAACTTACAAGTAGAAGCTTGAAGAGATCAGATGATAATAATTTAAAGAAGAAATAACAATGAATATAATTCTTATATCTACTGTGATAGATAATATGTATAATATGAAAGTTATGATAGACAGCAGTCTATATCACTATGCAATGATTAAATCTTCAGTTGTAAAACACTGTAATCTTCAGTGTATTCTCTTACTGAAACTCTGACTTTTTACAGAATTTAATGACTCAAAAGATGTTTGCATCTGTTACATGATAAAACTAAACATAGATGTCAGAGAATATTAACATGAAGATACTTATATATATAAAGTTAATAATCTTGACTATAATTTTATACTAGAACTTGTCTGACTATCTGAACAAGGCATCTTATTGAATACTTAAAACAGAAGTGTAATATTCTCTAATAATGATAGAATTTATAAAGATAATGTTCACAAGACTATGAATCTAATACAGATCTCTGTTAACACTTATAAAATGCTTTAAAAAAGCTTCTGATGAAGTCACTGACAAGATTATTAACAAGGTCACTGATAGCAGAATCATGTAATAATCTACTCTGTCAGTCTGATTAATATTAAAAAAGTTCTAGAAAAATTATTTCATGTTATAATAACAGACTCTTATACAAAACTCTCTTAATAATATCATGAATATTTAGATGTTTTTCAATAAGATAATATTACAAATTTACCTCTCTTATAAGACTCAGAGATAGATCACAGTATCAAGTTAGAAAAGAAGAATGATAAGAATTTCAAATCATCTTAAGACTCTCTCTATAACATGTTCTGAGATGATCTTCTTCTTCTTTGAAAGACACTTAATAATCTATTAAATAAAGAATTCATACATATTAATAACTCTTTCACTGCAGCTTCTATTCTCTTTACAAACAAATCAGACAGAGAACTTCAATTCTGTGTAAACTATCAAGAACTGAACAGATTAATAAAGAAAGACTGTTATTCTTTATCATTTATTAATGAAACTCTAGCATATATTAAAAAAGCTTAATAATTTAAAAAGCTAGATATCATCACTGCTTTTCATAAGATTCATATCACTGAAGAAGAAAAGTAACTTACAGCATTCTAAATATGATATAATCTCTTTGAATGACTAGTCACATCTTTTAAATTGACTAATACTCTCAGTATATTTCAGAAGTATATTAACTGAGCACTCTGAGATTTTCTTGATAAGTTTGTATCTACTTATCTTAATAATATTCTCATCTTTACTGATGAGTTCAGAAAAGAATATCAAGAACATGTATAAAGAGTATTATAACAATTACAAGAAGCAGAACTACTGATAGATATAGATAAGTATGATTTTGAAGTCAAGAGTATGAAATATCTAGGTTTTATCATAGAAGCTGATAAGAGAATTTGAATGAATTCTGAGAAAATCTCTGCTATTCTTGAATGAGAAGCTTTATACACTGTGAAAGATATATAAAGCTTCATTGAATTCACTAACTTTTATCAGTGATTTATATAAAACTTCTCAGATATGACTAGATCACTTACAGATCTTATTAAGAAGAACTCAGTATTTTAATAATCAGTGAATACTGAAGCTGTATTCATATGAATAAAGAAGATATTCATTAATATCTCTCTGTTAATAATATTTAACTCTGATTGAGAAATAGTTATTGAAGCTGACTTCTCTGACTATATTACAGAGAGAGCTATATTACAATATAATAATAAAGATATCTTATGATTATATATCTTTATATCTAAAAAACTGAGTTCTGCTGAATGTAATTACAAGATCTATGATAAGAAACTTCTCACAATAGTATACTATTTAGAAGAATAAAACTCTAAACTTCAAAGTATCTTTAAATTTAAGATAATCACAGATCATAAGAATCTCAAGTATTTTATAATTACTTATAAGCTTACTAAATAACAGATGTGATGATCTGAGCTATTAAGCTGTTTTCATTTCATAATACACTATCATCTCAGTAGTCAGAACACAATAACAGATATTCTCTCATAATAAGAGCAGAATATATCTTTTGATATAACAGATATTCACTGAATGAACTGAGAGTATCAGCT